GCCCCCCTCTCGGCAGTGTACTCACTTCCTGTGCCAGACCCCCAGAACGCACCAACATCATTCTGCATTTTAACAGCATCTGGGAGAATGGGAACTGAACCTAGAGCTTCGCGTGGTCTCATTCGGACGAACGAAGGAGTAGAATTATCCTCGGTCCCGCGCTCGACGCCCACAAAACTAGTTAGTGCGACCGCCGCAATCGTTGTTTATGTTTGTTCTCCGCTACTGCGCATGTCCAAATTTATGTGCGGGGAGCAGCGCGGAGGTGGGGGTCAGAGCAGAGGGGGATTTCACACCTATTCCCCTCTCGCGGGTGTGAAAGAGCTCCCTGCTGTGCAGCGTTTCTGAGGCTGAGTTTACACGGAGACAATGTGGCAGTAAAACGGTATAGTTGGATGTCGGTTGCTACCAACCGTTCATACGAAGACTGTGTTCCAGGGGGGTGAAAACGTAAGTGTTCAGATCCAGCCTGCAGAGTGGGACAACTCAGATACGCTGCACAGCGGGGGCTCTCTTTCACACCCGCGAGAGGGGAAAGGTGTGAAATCCCCCTCTGCTCTGACCCCCACCTCCGCGCTGCTCCCCGCACGTAAATTTGGACATGCGCAGTAGCGGAGAACCAACATCAACAACAATGGCGCTGCCCACACAAACTAGCTACGTGGGCTTCCAGCGCGGCACAGAGGATAATTCTACTCCTTCGTTCGTCCAAACGAGACCACGCGAAGCTCTAGGTTCAGTTTCCATTTTCACAGCTGCTGTTAAAATGCAGATAGATGTTGGTGCGTTCTGAGGGTCTGGTACAGGAAGTGAGGTTACTGCCAAGAGGGGGGCTGGGCACGCGGCTCGGGGTCGTGTGTCGTGTTGTAAAGTTTCTCTGCCCACTACTGGCTGGGCGCTAGAACTACATCGTTTTTCAACCTCATGTGAACGCTGAGAAATTTGCATTAGGAGCCAGGTCGTTTCTGTTAATAGCCTGGAAACGTCTGCGCAGCGTCTCAATATAAACAGGGCCTCAGATACGCTGCACAGCAGGGAGCTTTTTCACACCCGCGAGAGGGGAATAGGTGTGAAATCCCCCTCTGCTCTGACCCCACCTCCGCGCTGCTCCCCGCACATAAATTTGGACATGCGCAGTAGCGGAGAACAAACATCAACAATAATGGCGCCGCCCACACAAACTAGCTACGTGGGCTTCCAGCGCGGGACAGAGGATATTTCTACTCCTTCGTTCGTCCAAACGAGACCACGCGAAGCTCTAGGTTCAGTTCCCATGTTCACAGCTGCTGTTAAAATGCAGAATGATGTTGGTACTCTCTGAGGGTCTGGCACAGGAAGTGAGTATACTGCCGAGAGGGGGGCTGGGCACAGGGCTGGGGGTCGTGTGAGTGTTGTAAAGTTTCTCTGCCCACTACTGGCCGGGCGCTAGAACTACATCGTTTTTCAACCTCATGTGAACGCTGAGAAATTTGCATTAGGAGCCTGGTCGTTTCTGTTAATAGCCTGGAAACGTCTGCGCAGCGTCTCAGTATAAACAGGGCCTGAGTTGTCCCACTTTGCAGGCTGGATCTGAACATTTACGTTTTCACCCCCCTGAAACACAGTCTCTGTATGAACGGTTGGTAGCAACCGACATCCAACTATACCGTTTTACTGCCACATTGTCTCCGTGTAAACTCAGCCTCAGTGTTGTATTCATTCTCAGGGTTCACAGTCTGGAACCTGGACTGCCATGGCATCTCTTTACTGCATCGTCTCAGAGACCACTCTACTCTCTCCACTTATGCGCAGCTCTTCCTCCCCTACACGAATAAACAAAACCCACCCCAGCCCCCTGCTGTTTTCGGTCATCACCTCATTTGACAAGCAAATGTTAGCAACCCAAGTAGCAAGTTAGCTCCTCTTCTCCTCAACTGGGCGTCAATATGGCCGGTACTTCTAGTGTTAACAGAAAACGGTATCTTTTACATACTGAGAGCTGGTTTTGGCCGAGTGATGGCTGGTACTCACTTTATCTGTCTGAAAAAGCTTGTGCATGTGAAAAAGTGACAGAACTATTTTGAGAGCCAGGAACTAGTTACATGGATTAGTACCTGAGGTACTCCAGGTTTAACTAAATAATCAGGATTATTTTGTTGAGCAACCGTGGCAAAGAGAAGGTACGATTCACATACAATTGAAAAAATGGCAAAGAATGCTCCACCAATGCTAATATTCGTAACCTTTGTAACGTGCGTTATTAATGGCGTTAACGCTAAGTCATTTTAACGAAGTTTGCTTTCGCTAGGCTAAGACTGGTGGGATCAGAGGGAAAAAAGTTGTGGTATATGTGAAAATTCATAATATGTTTATAGGTGTAGCATCCATCCATCCAATTTCTTCCGCTTTATCCGGTGCTGGGTCCCGGGGGCAGCCGTCTGAGCAGAGGCACCCAGACAATCCTCTCCATGCACACTTCGCTCTTCAGTTCATCCGGAGGCAATCCAACTCGAGGTGTTCTCAGGCCAGAACTGAGAAACACAGTCCCTCCAGCGCTGCCCTGGGGCCTCCTCCCAGTGGGACATGGCCGGGACACCTCCCCAGGGAAGCTTCCAAAACAAATGCCCGAGCCACCTCAACTGGCCTCTCTCGACACGGAGGAGCAGAGGGAGCATCTTTGTACAAATACAAAGCACAAAAAAACCTCCAACTCAGGGGTGTCAAACTCATTTTGATCAGGGGATGAATTTAAAAAAAAAAAACTGGTTGGAGGCTGAAACGATAGAAGGGATTTCCATTTGTTTTTTACATTATGAAAGTATTTTGACATGACTTATGTGACATGAGTTTCACTACTATTTTCTGGTTGATTTTTCTGAAAACCAAATGTGTTTATTGTTTAGATTGAACCAAAACTGGACCAAATATAAAGTTATACACACTGTTTTATGTTTAACTCTTAAACTTCTAATGATGTGCTGGGTCAAAATGTTAGAATACATTGAATCAGGTGAAACATGCCATGGTTGCCCATAACCATCCATGCGGCAAGTTAATGATAATGATAATAATAAATCATTTTAGGGGCCACTAAAAATTCAGTTCTCAAACGGAAATTGTGTTAAAATCAGGACATTGCAGACGGACGCTAAAATCTCCTCAGCTACATTCCTTCCACCCGATTGGTATTAGACTCACACCTTGCGTAAAAAGCCGCTGTGAGTGCGCCTGAACCTGCCTCCTGTATGTGATCGTCTCTGGTCTCGCTCCTCGTGCTGTGAAGTGTGAGAGTGAGATGAGGCGTGCTGGGGCAGAGCTGGGGCAGAGCTGGGGCAGAGCTGGGGCAGAGCTGGAGCAGACACACATCTCTGTATGGAACCATCATCGCACTTGGAACAATAGCACGTCTGCTTGGACTCGGGGCTCAGGTGAACGGCGCTTTGATGAATGAGTCGTGGAAGGGGAATTGGCATCACGACAGCATCTTGGCAAATGCTTTTGGGAGATGGAATGAATGACGCAAATAAAACACGAGGTAACACCGTGCCAACTTGATCTCAAATGTTTAAAATATGTTACCTTTGATTGTGTGATTAATACGAGTGCTAGGAAAACATCACAAAAGCTTTAACATATAGGCCAAAGGATATTTGGACACATAATTAATTCATTATTATTACACGGCTCCTCACAGCAGCAGTAGAACGCTCCATTGATTTGAATGTAATTTCAAAAACGTTCTACCTGTCATCATTTCTTGATAACGGACCTCTCAAAACAATAAGTAAGTAAGTAAGTAATGTTTATTTATATACCGCCTTTCACAGACCAGAGTCACAAAGAGGTTTACAATTTTTATTTTTGGGCATTTGTCCTCTCACTCCACACAGAGATGGGAGCGAGAATAATGACCGCTGCCCATGGCAACACACCCTCTGCTTGTAATTCAGATGTGTAGATCACTCCTCAAGTAGTTCCGGCCAATCCGGAGCTAGCCACGCTCAATAAACGCAAATACCAATCAATCAACACAATTAAATGTTAATCGGAGAATACATTCTTAATACACATGCACAGAGGTTTTCAGAAGTATCTGTATCTGTTAATGTTTTCGACAAAATACTGTTTTAATGCGAAAAAAAGCGATCGCCAAAAACCCGGAAGTAGATTCCGGGACATTTTAGGAACATTTGCAGAAAATCAAATTATGGATTTAGGTTGAGTTTATGTTTGGGTCACTCACCGCTGATGTTCAAACTTCTTTATTCAGTTTTCATGCAGTTCGAGAGAGTTCTAGTTTGGAAGTTGCTAGCCTAACTGTTACTCGCATAGCCACGGGAAAGCCTTTGGGAACTATTTTTTTTTTTCTGTAATTAAATAAACCTTTCAGCTTTCCTAAGAGTGGACTGAAGTTTATTTTGTGTGTTCTGTTGGTACAAAGCCGTATAATAAGCGAGATAATGTATATTACGCAGGTCATTATCGGAAAATAAGTACAGACAGGGCGAATATACATTACTGTAGAATACATTATTCCTTACTTAAATCACAGTTATAATAAAGCACATATATAAACAGCTACAAAAGTGCTACACACAAATAGTTAACGGGACGGACATTGCAAATTAGCCTTGACTATAAATGTTGTAGTTTTTCACATGTGGATTGTGTACCCTAGTCCCTATCAATTAAATCCCTCATTATTGTACAAGCAGTTCCTCTATATCTTTACAAGATGGTCAAATGTATTGTGAGGATTAATTAATTCACCAATTTCGCAAAATGAATGCGAGTCCCACTGAAAATCATCATGACCATTCACCAAAATGTAGTTTTAGCATCCATTCTAATACCAAAAATGTGCATTATATTCAATAAAAAAGTAAAACAACAACACAAGAGCCAGCAATGGATTCCAACCTTTGATAATTGTGTTTTTTCACAGCACATGTATATAATGGAGCCAACAGACTATGCCCCTGCTTTGCTTTCACTAGAGCACTCGTGGCTGTGGTCTGTACCTCAGGCTCTCCGCAGTCGCACTCCTCGCCCTCCTCCACGTAGCCGTTGCCGCACTTCTGTCCCCCATAGAGCACCTTGACCTCGGGCATGTTGAACAGACACATGCCCACGCCCTTCTCCAGACTGGCAGCCAGGTCCTTCTTACTGCAGGTGCTGAACACGGTGGGGAAGGGATACCTGCCGGACCATATTAAAGGTGTACAATGTTTACCAGAATTCGTACGGAAGAGATAAGACACATCTTTATTGAGCTCACAATGAATAAGTCCATATGTTATGCAAACAACAGGGACAACAGGAAATGTACAAACATGCTATAAAAGTGAAAACATAGAGAGTATCTTAAGTGCAACAATGGGACTGAGTGAGAGGAGGAGACAGAGAATTTGGTAAACATGAGAACACACGCTCTTTACCACATTCTAACATCTATTATTTCATGGTCAGAGTATTATAATCAGAACAAAGTGCACCAAACAGTCTTGGTCATACAAATAAAAGAGTCCCCTCAAAATACCAAATGTCCTTATTTTGATAAACAAAGCAAACTTTCTTCCCTTTGCTGTTTTTCCTTATCCTTTCTTACTTACGTCTACAGAAGTAGTAAGAATAAGAAAGTGTGTAATCTTTACAGTTGTTGTGGGTATTTGTCTCTCACTATGGAAGCATGGTCGCCATACAGGAGGCACATGCTGTACATATTTATAGAGGTAGAGGAAACTGGAGCACATGGAGCAAACTGAAGCACCCAGAGGAAACCTACACAGACACGGGGAGAACATGCAAACTCCACTCAGAAAGACCTGGGTCGGTTTCTGGAGGTGGAAATGAACCCCGGAACTTCTTGCTGTGAAGCGTAAGTTCTAACCAATGAAGAGAAAGCCCAAAGACAAGATCAACATTATAACTATTTTTTATCTAACACAAGAAAAATAAGTTTCAAAAGAGTGACAAACTGGCCATAGCTAGAACATAAAATATTCTCTTCCCAAAATAAGTAAGTAATCTTTATTTATAAAGCGCCTTCCACAGACTAGAGTCACAAAGCGCTTTACAATAGTTATTTTTGGGTATTTGTCCCTTACTCCTGACAGAGATGGGAGCGGGGTCGCCGTACAGGAGGCGCATGCCAGATCTATTGCACATGTTTTAATGGTAGGAGAAACCGGAGCACCTGGAGGAAACCTATGCAGACATGGGGAGAACATGCAAACTCCACTCAGAAAGGACCTATTTCGACCGGGAATCTAACCCAGGACCTTCAAGCTGAGAAGCGAGGGTGCTAGCCACTCAGCCACCGTGCCGGAAAATTTGTGTAGATTGTTGGTCAAGCAGTCTTACGAGTTAAAGGCATCAAAAAGAATACAATTTAAAGCATTAACGGTAATGATGCATTGAAAGAGAATCCTATTGTGGAGACGCAGTCTGAAAAATGAGGAACAATTTGAAGCAGTGACTGTGCGGAAGATAACACAGAGTCTGCCAGTGTTCTCCGCAAGTGATAAAAGAGCTAGCTTGGCTTCACAATGCGCCTTAATTTCTCTCAGTGGCAGAGGTTTCTACCTGAAGTGCTGACTAATGTCTAATTTAGGCCGCAACCGGATTGAATTTGAAAATGTTATGAGTTTTTGAAGATGAAACTCTGTGATATGCCAATAACAGCTGCAAGGCCCAGGGGAACTGCCGCCCTTCCAGACTCCAGACTCAGCTATTGGTGCGGTTCCACAGAAAATAAATATGAGAAATAGCAATAAACAAAAATGAGGGATAATTTTGTGCTGCAACCCACTGTTATATGCAGGGTGTATAACCAACTGATTTTTCTATCATTTAAAGTAATCTTGCGCAGATAAAACTGACCAGTGCTTAAAGTGTGGCATTCAAATCAACATAAATCAAGCACATTTGCCAGTTGAAAAAGTAAAAAATAAGTGTTGAGCTTGGGGGGTGATTGGCGACATCAAAATGCATAGATTTTCAGTGGAGTACAGGGATCCCAAAGGCCATGGAGATAATGGAGAACGCTTTCAATGGGTAAGAGGAAAACACGGTGTCTATTGTACAAAACAGACCAGAGAGATTTACACTCTCAAAAAACATAAAAGCAACACCAAAAACCCACTTGTAACAGATACCCTTGGGGGCAACAGCTCCGTCCACTTCGCTCGAGCTGCCCACCTTCTGAGTATAAGCTTTTCATCCAGACAGGTTTTTTTTTCTTTTCGATTCTGCCCTGGCCTGCTCCTCTTAATCCACTGAAGGTTTTTTTTTTTTTTGTACACCATTGCGCTATCAGTAAAAAGAGATTTACTATGTGGAACGTGGGGGAACCAGGCTTTAAATCAAGGACAGACAGCCCATGCAGATCAGACTGGTGCAGAGCCAGCCTCTTGTTTAGAGCATGGACCACAGCTGATAACATGTGTTTCAGGTCAGGAGGAAGCTTTGGATTGTGTCGCTGGGTTAAAAATGGCCTGCTTTGTTTTGAGAGCAACAAAAGATATGGACTCTTTAACATGATATGGACTCTTTATCAATAGAACTCCTAGAGCAGATGGCTTAATTTTTTTGAAGTGTGATTAAGATTTAGATTAGGAGATACTTTGTTTGTCCCACAATGGGGAAATTTCAGTGTTGCATCAAAAGTTAGTAGGAGTACACAACACAAGTAGGAATGAGGCGCACACAACACAAGAAAAATGAATAATAACTGCTATGCTAAAATATGCTAAAATAAAATAAAATCTCCACCATAAAAAGAAGCAGTAGTATTAAATCTCTATATTTAGCAAAATATACAATAGTTTATTTTAATAGAAATAAAAGTTTATTTCTATGTCATTATTTTTGTAAATGAAATTATCTTTGAAATGTTAGGAGTTTGACCTTTGAACTCATTTTCCACCACCGAATAGGAAGTGCTAGTTACCATAATAACACATTGTTTACAGTCAGAAGTTAGCATCAGCATTTTTTGGGCTAATATATTTCGGCACTAGTTTTAGCACTTGGTAGTTAGCAAAGGTAAAAACTTTTTACATTACTTTATTTTTTATACATTTTGTGGGAATTCCATTGGTTTGAATGGGAGCACTCAAAATGACAGCTCTGAGAGTTCTAGTAGTTTCAGATTTCTGGGAGTTCTCGTATTAATGAAGAAGTCAGGAAAAACAAACTCATTTAGCAGCAGATTGACAAAAAAAAGTTGTCAATGATCCAGGGAACATGCTGGGTCAGTTTCTCACTCAGATGGACCGTACTAAATGTAATCGTCTCTTCATTTTCCTTTTATGCTGAATGAGAAAAGCTGATGCCAATTCTCGGGTCATTACGATTCCCAAAATGGACAGCAGTATAAGACTTTAAAAAGACTGCAATGACGTTTAAAGCCTGTTTAGGAGATTTAGAAGTGACTGATGAAGCGAGCCCAGGTCAATCACATGGTTCAAAGTCCTATTAAAGTAATGTATTTGGAGTCAAAACGTCTTTGTTCTGCACATTTGAAATTGTAAAAGGAAAAAAAATCTGGTTTTGTTAATATGGAGACAAGCTTATGTGATACTTTTGGTGTTTTAGTCATAAGAATAGAATTAGTTCTGAATGATCTTGCGTTTATAGAGGTGCAGTATGCGACTGTTTTAGGAAGTCACCCTAATAAATGTAAACTCAGGTAGATAAGTCTTCAAATGCTGGTGGTTACTTCAGATAAAAGCCATTACGGACATGTTAATATAACAGTTTAAGTGAATTCTACTTCATATAGATACTGGTAATGTACACAATGCCTCCACATAAACATACAGAATTTCAAATAATAAGGAAATGGGGGTGTGAGTATTTTCTTCCATTCACAAAAAGCAGTATTTTTATTACCCACGGCCTTCAAAAACTACTTTCTGAGCTGAATATTGACTGTAATATTCACAATATTTCAATTATGTTATTTGTTATTTGCACTGGGTTTTGTTTTACTACGCAGATGAATTATGTAAATCCCAAAGAACTTCTGGCAAGACAAACACGGGGGAAGACGGGATTTGAGGGTCGAGGAAATTAGCTCCAATTACAATAAAACAACAAACTCTGACACATTGACAGTCTCTATTCTGTCATCTCTGTGTCTACCACATTTGGTTTTTTTCGTTGAACCATAACTTATGTTTAAAGAGTGACATCAGTCAGACGATATATTTAGTTTTTGCCCAAAATGCTGCTGCTGCATGATATACTTCATTCTAGTAAAACAACCATCTAATCTATTCTGCTCTAATTCCGAATGCAATTATTATAGATAATTAACAAAACAATTCTATAAAGTCCATAAAAGTCCAGTTTTGTTTTGGAAATTGTACGATGTGCATGCTTTTTTATCTATTTTCTTAACGATACTTTACTTGTTGCAACATCAGCAAATTTGTAGACTTCCCTGATTGTGATTCAAACCTGCAGTCATTTCATTCAGACAAGCCTCAGGAATGAAAACTTGCACATCACTTTCTGCAGATCGGGTGCACCGGGGGAGAGGCCTGTACAGCCTACAGTTTAATAAGGAGAATTACGAACAACGTTTCAGCATTACACTTCACCCAGCAAATAACTAAATATTTGCTTGATGAAGGCATAACGCCGAAACGTTGCACTCCCAATATTTTTTTTTATTTGCAACTAAGACGGTGTGCAGGAATAATTCTCCTTATTAAAAATGAATAGGTAAATTAATAAGTATAACATTAAATTAGCGCTCACCCCTGTTAATGCACAAAATCAAATCCTCATAGCATGCCTTTGAAAAATGTAAAAGAAAAGAAAAATCAGCCTCTAGAATCAGCATCATACAACAACAACAAAAACACGTCTGTGGATCCCTACTCCTGTTACCCTTACAGACTAAATCACATCCTTCTGCAAAACTACTATTTAATCATGACACACAAAAAAACTGATCTATTGTATCCTGAATTTCTCCTACGGGGGATCAATAAAGAATCTATCCATCTATCTATCTCAAAAGTATCACTCAGTATCATTATCAACTGTTACACAAATCGAGCCACGTTTAAGATCCCACACTGGTCAGAGAAGGACCCGGCCCCGTCTCTCTGCAGGGGCACTTTTCTCTTCTGGAAGTCTTTTGTTAGCGCTCAACAGTTAACCCAAACCTAATTATCCGGCCTGCC